AAAAGGTTTTTAAACAAATCTTAGTTAGTCTGAAAAAAAATCAAACTTTCAACTCATTTGCTTAGATTGGCATACATTTAATATAAAAATGTATAATGAAAAAATGTGAACTTCGAACCCATCTGAAGATAATAAAGAATTATGTTTAATAAACCATCATTTTATTTTTCATGCACCACTTGGCGGATACAATGCTTCCCTAGGTTTAGGTGAAAATATAAGTAATATCAGAGCCTTATATGATTCTTAAAACATATTCGAGCTGAAACCAAGTCACTCCTACTTACCAAATACCTTTAAACCCTACTTTCATACGAATATAATGAATATAGTTTTAGATCTTTCTGTATGTCGTTTAATGTAAGTGATTATTGACTTTCCAGTAATACATTTATGGTAAAAGAACAAACATGAGTCCTATGATGAACAACTGCTCACTTTGTTAAACTATGTCGATCAAGTACAAATAATTATATCTATAAGGCCTAAAAAATAAAGCGTTTTAAAAATAAACTATAATGCGATTCATAAAAATCTATTTTTTACTTACTCATAAAAAATAATATTTAGTTTTAGACAATTTTTCTCACTTTCATAAGTAAACAGATTACTATTTTTACTTAAGTTATCTTATTGGCTTACTTTGAGTAGTTTTATCTAATAGTAGCTTGATCTATCCTTAAGAACTTTGAGGACAAATAATGTAATAAATTTAGAATATATAAAGTTATTATTTTATTTGCCCTTATGAAGCACAGTCAAACAAAGATAATCGAAATGATTCTACGACTGTAGCAGGGTTTTAAGCCGTTTTACTTGCAGTAGAGTATGTTAACTAAGTCTATGTGTCAAACTTTAAGTTAAATAAGACCAAAAAGGTAATTATTCAGGTGTTGGATGTGTATAATTGGCATACCTGTAGGCTTTGAGATCCTTTGAGCGTGTTTAAAAGAAGTGATTAATATAATATGTCAACATAGCCTAAAAAAACTAGTGCTAATCTATAAAATTTACTCATGACCAAGAGGCGCTTTAGTTTAATTTTGACATATTTGAAAAATCCAGTAAAACATGTGATCGCATACCTGGGCTCCTTATATGAATATTTGCGGAGAAAAGAAAGGATAATGAGTATTAGAAATAATAAGTTTATGAGAAAACTTCTTAAAAGAAAAGTAGGCGCTCACCTTTACTCCTTGCTTTCACTGGTGTTGTTTTCTGAAGGCAAGTTGACTGGCCCAGGAACCAGAATCGGCTGTCCAATCGCTATATCTCCACTTTCGTCACCCGCTGAACTTCGAACTTCGTCCATCAGTTCTTCCACTCCATTCGTATTATCTTCTTGCTCTCTAGTAGCCCAGGAATTTCTATTTGACTTTATCTCAGGGCTATCAGGGGCTCGTGCGTTTGCGCCTGCCTCGCGGTAGTCACTTTCGTGTTTTTTTATGCCACTTGTAAGGGACTTTCCGCGACCTACTCCTGTCACCATGGTGGTCGTATCCATTCCATAGATGGGCATATCTCGTGTTGGGCTCAGTCGACGTGGACTCAGTGGTCCCCCACCACCACCAGTATAGTGCGTGTAAGGATGAGGCGTCAAACAATTATGGTAGAATCCAAGGTTAGTGTGCGACCTAGGCGGATAAGTCGGTTTCTGTGTGAAAGTATTTCATTCATGAAGGTTATAACAGTTTAGGCAACAGATATACATATTTTAATAATATAAATACAAATCATATATATATATATATATGAAAAGCGTTGTTGTTGATATTTGTTTAAAAAGCTGATGAGCGAATTTAAGCATTTTCAGTTTAGCAATAGCACTTATGAGATAATCTATATAAAATTAAAACAGAATATAGGTAAAAAATGGGATTATTAATCGCTACCAGTCACCTATAGATAAAAGCTATGACTGCAAGATCATTGACAGCCTAAAAGAATTGCTATCTAAAATAAAAATGAACGATCCTAGATATTTAGAAAATTAACTGCTTTAAGCTCAATAAGCTTAATTATGCTTTATTAAGCAAATGTTTAATCAGTGTAGCTGCTTTTCATTAATTTATTTATCTTGAGTTAAGTAGCAATATGAAAATAGAGACAGTTCGCGGTTAGTAAGAGTAATTAGACTCTTGAAAATGTCGTACTATTTAAGTGATAATGACATACAAAATCGTGTAATTGACGCAATCCGAGTGTAAGGCAAGGACCTAACGATAATTAATTCATCTGCTTCGCTGTCCCGAACTCTTTTAACACTATTACCTGAAATTTAGTCAGTATTAAGTGTGGCGTACTGCAAATTTATACTTCGCACTAAATCGAATTTCGCACTTTTCGGACGTGTTCTAATCGCGACCTGCCTATATTACAATATATTTCATATCATAAA